CTTCCAGCCCAGTTGATTCTATGATTCCAGGTTCTGCCCAGTGTTGGATCCAAGCCCTGCTCCCACAGGCTCCTGCCTGGCACGCTGGAAACAGTGTGAAGCATGGAGGTTTGGACTCCTCAGGAGTCCTTAAATGCAATATAGTGCCTTTCCATTTTCCTAGCTCTAGTACCACTTCTTTTCCAAGCACCACTCTTTTTTTGAGCAATAGCAGAAGTGCGATGTGTGTTAGTTTATACATAGATATATGCAGATAAAGTGTATGCACACACAAACACATATATGTGTATGTATTTGCTTGATGGGCCCTGAATTTTGAGTGAGCTAAACAAACCAGTATTTATGATAAAAACACAAATGCTGAAAAAGATGTGGATAGGTGTTGGCAAACACCACAAAGTGACCAGAAGCAAAGTTGTAGGTAATTTTAAAAATTTTGGTAATGAGATATTGCTTAAATACCAGATATATTCTTAAATTAGTTTCAGATAAGGCATTCCAATCCCTGTGCTTAAACCTGTGTGTAATACAGTAATTAATACCATTTTCTTTGTATGTTTTACCAAGCTGCATACCACTTTGTTCCAGGGGTGCATGAGGCAGTTGCCTCCATGTGGTTATTGATACACAGCTTCTTTATTTATACGTGTTGTTTAAGTTGTATTGTGATTATATTAAATATGTCATGTGAAAGTTGTGCTGATATAACAAATTGTGTCCATCCAATTCTAAATTTGCTGTCTACTCTTACTGATCTGTTAACCTTTACACCAGTTTCTTATAGTAATAATATTTCATAATAGTGCTTTCCCTTCATCTATTTGCAGCTGCTTTATGAAAAATGTAGGGACATTGTTATTCCCATTTTCTGGTATAGGCAACAATACAGTGAGGTTAAGTCCCACCCCAGTGAATACAAAAATAGATTTCATACCACCTAATTCTTACCCCAGCGCACAGTAGCTTGTTTATGTTGAGTATGATGTTTATGATGAACCTAAACAAGACCAAAGTGACTTGGTTTAAAACAAAATTTCTGCAGACAATTGGCATTTTACAGCTTTAATTAGGTTTTCTTTGCATCTAGGTGGGGTTTTTTTATTTTATGGAATCATTAAAGGATTGCACAAAATGGCATTGCCTGTTTTTGCAGGGACACAGAGATACTAAGGGTTTAGGATCTTTAGGAAAAAGTGGAAATTATAGCCTAATTGTTAAAAGGTAATGCCATGCAGTAAATGGGTCATGCATAACTGTCACCAAAATGGATTTATAGACAAAAGCAATGTTTTATTTGTTGCTTTGAATGCAGTTGAGGGCAGGGAAATCACTTACCAGTGTTTTTCTTTCAGTCTGTAGAGGGAAGAAACCACTTGTGTGTTTGGGTCACACAGGTAGCCAACATGTCTACACAAAATGATTTTTTTAAGGTTATACATATAGTGTTAGTTGATGATGTCTTGCTTTAAGTATAAATCCTGCATTAAGACACAAGGTTATAGGTTCCAGATTATATAAGTAGGACTGTGTGGCCAGTATGAGCTCTTGGATTGTTTTAACTCTGTACAGTGGGTAAATTTCTTGCTTTCTTCTTCTTCAGGTATTAGTCAGCAGCCCGATCCAGGTTTCACAGGGGCCACCACTCCTCAGAGTCCACTGATGTCACCAAGACTGGCTCACACTCAAAGCCCCATGATTCAGCAGTCTCAGGCTAATCCTGCCTATCAGTCCTCTACGGAGATGAATGGGTGGGCACAAGGGAATATGGGTGGTAACAGGTAAATCCAGACAAAACCAAAATGAGCACACAAAGTAATGGGGTCCTTGATGGTCTACACTTATTTGTGGGCTTGTTTCATGTAATTGTTTGCGTGGTTATTTATTGTTAACTATCTATCCTAAAAGAGATTTCTTTTCAATTTGGCTTGACGAATTGGTTTAAATTCTGTCTTCATACAAGGCAAAGTGAGTGCATAGCTAAAAGACCTGCATCCATGCAATGCATTGCTTTGTCTGTGGTAACTGATCAAACACTGTGTGTCCTTAAGAAGCACCTCTGCTGCACAGTGAACTCCAGCCCCTAACGTTTATGTGGATGCATTTCTTCTGCATACAGTTTTCGTATCGTGCTCCCACACTGCTTTCCACATGGCTGGATCAGCTGAGCCAGAGCCTATGCATTCCCTACTGCTCTGGAATGGTGGTGACTGGATTATCACCTCCCACTTTAAGCGCTGGATGTAACCAGGTTCAGACCATTAGTGCTTGCACATACTGGGGATCAGCATATAACTGTCATTCCCTGATGGCATTGTAACATGCCTTGTGCATGCAGTCACCTTTTCAGTTGAGGCCCCTACCCCAGTCAGTATAGCTCTAATAAATCAGTCTGTCCAAATCAAATGGCCTGGAGGTTGAACACTATCGGTAGGCAGCAGTGAGCTTCCAGATGGCAGTGATCTGAACTTTTCATGGGAAGGCAGGAGGAGCTATCAGGTACAGCTTGTATCACTCAACACTGGAGTACACACAGCTGTCTCTAGTACAATGCCTTTGTCAACCCGAAGTTCTCAGGCTGCTCTTATTGTCTCAGCTCAGCAACAAATCTTTTTCCCACTGGTTGACAGAGATTTTATGAACCTAAAATGCTGGTATTTTATTGATGAGGCTGATCCAAGTAAAGTTCCCCTTAAAGCAGCTGATTTATCTTGTATCCTTATCCTTGGCCATGCCTCATCCTCACTGTGTTCCTGAAGCATCTGCAAGAGGCATAAAGAGCCAACCCTGCCACTATTGTGGCTTCTGCCAAAAAATGGCAGCAGGGACAGCTTGATAAGACTAATAGTTGGCTTTGCCGAACTGCAGCTCTACAGCAGAGACATGTCAAATGTGTTTACACAAGCCACTGAGTATTCACAATGATCTGTAGTGTGTTGTTTCAGCCATCCAGATAACAACTTAAAAATGGGGTTAGATGGCCTGAAAAGACATGGAACTGGAAGGAAGAGAATGGTGGAATTTTCTGAGTTTGGTCCTGTGCCCAGAATGCCATTGCACTCCACAAGTCTCACAGTATGCAGCAATAGCCTAATGGAGTACCCAAGTGCAAGGTTGAGGGCTAACCCTGAAAGATTTCCTTAGCTGTGGGAGCAGTGCTTCTGGAAGTAAAAGTAGAAGTGCTTCTGGGGAACTAAGTCAGCTATTGATACAGAGGTGGTTGCTGTATGCCATCTGACACACAGCAGCCCTTCCACAGAATTTCAGTCTAATGCAGATCCTCTGAACAGACACATTGTCAGTAATAATTCCTTCATTGACTGTTGGATTATGCTCAAAGAGTAGAAAAGACTGATATGTAAACAGTGAAGTGCATTTTAGGAAATGTAAAGAAGTCTCTCATATGACTTTCAACATAACGGAAAGGAAGATACTGTCCAGAAAGCACTTGACTGAATAAAATCTGGGATGAGATGTTCCACAGTTACTTCTCCTTAAGTTGTTCAGAAATCACCTTAAAGGAACATAGAGGGTAATTGTCTTAGACTTTGTGTTGTTTCTTACAGTGCCACATTTTCAAAACCTGATGCTAAGATGTAGTAAATAAATTTCTGCACAATTGCATGTCTCTATTTGTGAGCCCACTTGCCGTAATTGTACGTGCAATTCTGGTATTCATATGTGCAAATAGCCCATTTTGCAAAAAAAGACAGTTTATTAAACCAGCTCAAATTTCAGCTCAACAGCCCTGTGCTGTGCTAACACTGGAGGGAGAAAAAGGTGTTTTCCTTTCCCTCCAAAAATTGAAAGCAATTTTTAAGTACACACAGAGATCATTTAGACAGCTAATTGGCTGTTATGACATATGCATAGCAGATTTGTACTCTGCCATAGTTTCACACGCAAAGGCATGCGTTTTTGTGCACAGACATCCGATCTTAAATTTTGAAAATCCTATTCCTTAGACATTAATGCAGCTGAAAACTAGTTTTTCCTATGAAGTTGGGATAAAGGACACTATATACAAATTCTAGCTTAAGATATATTAAAAACAGTTTCTCAGTGGCTTCAGCATTCTAAGTCTGACACATTGCTTTTTCCATTCCTTGCTGTAGCATGTTTTCACAACAGTCCCCACCACATTTTGGGCAGCAAGCAAGCACCAGCATGTACAACAATAACATGAACATCAGTGTATCCATGGCAACCAACACAAGTGGTATGAACAACATGAACCAGATGACAGGGCAGATCAGCATGACCTCAGCGACCTCTGTGCCTACATCAGGGTTGTCCTCCATGGGTCCTGAGCAGGTGAGAATTCAAGGATGTGAGATGACAGCTAGAGGATTTGCTTTGACTTTCACTAGTCTTTCAGATCCACTGTGTTGGGCTGCAACGGCCCATTATGTTTCTTTTACTAGTTTTCTTAAGAAATAATGATGTTAAAGGAGCGTTGGCTTTAGCTCTGCACTCGAATAACCAAGGTGACCAATGAGATAGAGATCACGTTCTGCATCTAAATTTCCCGTTTTGACCTAGCACCACTGTAGCTAGCACATGTAGTTGCTCCTGGACTCCATGGAAAGCGTGTGCTGGTCTAGCTCCTGTTCTCAGCAGGTAAGTTTCCATAGCATGGTAGCAGGTCCAGTGTCCTTGCTAATTTGCCCAGCAGGCAGCTGCTTCTTAGAGAGAAGAATGAAAGATTCTACTATGGGCAGGGTGTGGAAGATGCTTCAACTGCTGCGGTGTTTGTAGTACTAGACAATAAATAGGAGGTCAGCTCCAAGAACTGTCCATCTGGCAAATTTATGAGCACAAAATCCACATTTTTGTAATGTGATGCATGTAAAATATGTTGCTGAATCAATAGGTGAGTAACCTGTTCTTTTCTCCTGAGAGGAGGTTTACACACTGATTTTTGTTTGAGAGTGTTACTTACAGTATCTGAAATAAGAAAAAAATAACATTTCTGTTTGCCAACCTGCAATTAAACTCACACAGTACATTTATAAGTATTGGACAAATATGTCCTCTTAATTAGCAGGTTCATGTTTGTTTCAGAGCTGAACTCTAGCTTGTTCAAAACACAGGCTTGAAATTATGGACTTTTCTTTAAAATATTATCAGGAAAGTAACTCTTGTGTCTTCAGGCAGTGTCTCCTGCTATTGCAGTCAATATCATAAACCTTTTTTTCTGAGGCCATAACATTCCAGTTTAAAGGTGATTATATTAATGGCTTGTTAATGTATGTCCTTTTTCCAACCTAAATTTGATACCAGAGTATTTACTTTTCCAATACTGTCCTTTAGCTTAAATTGGGTTTTTTTCTTGTATTTTAGAAAGAGCCATTCTATCAACATGACTGTTTTGTTGGTGTGAGATTGTTGGATTGTTTTGGTTTGGGTTTCTTGGGGTTTTTCTTGTAAGCCAAACAAGACAGTTTTTCAGTCTCTTAGGCTTTAAATTCCCTTCCCATTTTTGCACCTGTTCTAGTTTGAATCCATATTTCCTAAGCACCAGAGCCACCAGTACTTCCCCATTTCTCTTGGAATACTCTGACAGATATAGCCACAGATCACATTTGTCTTTTACAGCTGCTACACCCTGGTGACCTGAAGTAATTTTGATACTCCCAAATCTGTCACCTTCTCTGATATTCCCAGTTGCTAAGACCAATTATAGCAGACTTTTTTAATTATTATTAGTTCCCAAGTGCATAGAGTTGCACACATTTAATGTAGTAAAACAGTAGTAAAGCCAGAAAATAAGAGAGCAGGGATTTGAAGGTAGAGACCCAGGCTGATTTCTCAGCATACCCATGCTACTTAATTTTTCCCAGGAACCTGAACTGAGAAACTGCATTGTAGAGAGGGAGCTCGTGTTATTTCAAAGATTTCCATGCAGGCTACTTTTTCCACTGGCACAGCTGTTGCACTGCTTTTCCTTCCTATTAGACTACAAGACCTTATTTCAAGATAGCATTTATCTAACATTCAGTAAGCTGGATATATGCTGAGGTTCTTTATCCATTTCAACATTGTTTTTTCAGCCTATCAGTCCCTTTTGTGGATCTACTTTAAACTCCATTGTTGTAAACTCCTTCTAGAAGTATGAACAGAGTAACCAGAGATGGTGATTTAACAGTGACTGCACCAAAGCTGTGTAGGGTCAAGTTCTGCTTGTAATTTCTCTTCCAATCCATGGGTTGCCTTGGATCTGTTGGTGACAGTGTCTCACCAAAACCCTTATGATTATCTCCACATCCTCCTCAGCACATTCTACATCTATGAAACCTGCATTCTTTGTTCTCAAATGTTTTGCCTTCCTATTGTCTACATCAGATTGTATTTCTTAGATCATCTGTTTAAGCAAAGTGCCGTGACTTATTCGGTAGCAGTAACCTGTTTTCCTCCTCATTTACCACCCCAGCACTGTGTCATCTGCAAGCAAATGTTTTATGTTTCATCTAGGTCAGAGGTGGCCAGCTGACAGCTGAGGGGCCGTTTCTGGGCCACGAGACAGTACTTTTTAGTCCTCAGGAACGTTTGCTGTGCTGCTTCACATTTTTTTTCCTGAGAGACATGAATAGCTAAAAATGTATATTTGAGTACTAAAATTGATACTTTTCTGCTTTTTTTTCTGTTTTTAGGGCATAGTGTTTTACTGTTTGGCGTCTTTATTTAGCAATTAACCCAGACTCTGCTGAACTTTTTCTTGTAACTGGTGGTTTTCAAAATGACTGTGTTTTCTGTAATTCTGCTGACTCTTGCCAGTTCATTCATTCTTTGGGGTTTTCTTACACTGTCACCTATACTTCTATTTACTTATTCAATGCCATTTTTTGTTCCATAATACATAACTTGAACTTCACGTGCTCGTGTCTTTCTCACCACAATGAGTAAGAGTGATTACCCTACAAATGTGTTCTAGCTGTTGGAAAAAACTCAACACTTCACATGTTACTGGATGGTTATTGAAGTGAGAGGTATTACCTAATACTATAAACCTGTGCCTGGACTTACTTACTTGGTCAGAAACAGGTATATTTTCTTTGGTACCAGACAGGTTTGTTTGGCTCTGTCTCCTCCCTCATTGTGGCACTATGCTGTGTAATAACATATATCCAGAGCTCAGAAATACTGAGTTTGGTGTTTAACTGCTCATACCTGTGTATCTCTTACCTGGGCTTTCAGTATCACCAAGGGAAAACAGTAAGCCCAAAATGGCCTTACTATTTATGATCCTTAGAGGCTTTTTTATGTATTTAAGGAATTATATTTCTCTTATAATTGCATTAAGGTTCTTCAGGCTGCTCTTAACTACTGCATCTTGTAGGAGGCTGCTACCAGGAATGCTGAAATGCTAGCTGCCAGGTCTGAAGGTTCCTTCTGTCCAAAAGAGCTTCCCCAGAAATCGAGAACATCTAAACCTGCCTGGCATTGCACCATTCACACATTTTACTGTGTCCTTGTCCTCATCTTCGTGTCCTTGTCTTCATCTTCTTGTTTACACAATGGACTATTGCCATGATTTTGCCTGTTACTTATTTTGCATCATGGATCCATGTTATTTACTGAGCTATCAAAGAAGCAGTTTGAAGCCTGTGCAAGAGAAGAGGCTTTTCAGTATATGAAATAAACTCCTATTTAGATGTCCACTCAGAGTAGTTGTTTATTAATCTGCACAGGGCAGTACTCCCCAGGCCATAATTATCATGGCATCTAAGAAGAGTGATCTTGAAACAATATTTTGATTTTGTTCGGCATACTGGATGAAAGGAGCTCTGGAGTGGTCAGAAAACTTTTCTTGTTAAGATACCTTGTATATTATTTTGCTGCATTAGCAGGACACTCTATTAATATGCTTAATTGCAAAGGATTTGTAAAACATTTTCTGTCTTGTTTTAGTGAGATTTCATATCTGATAGCACCACTTGGCCCGTCTGCAGGAAATTACAAAAGCTCTTCCATTTCTTTGTCCTTCTCCATGCTTTCTGATTGAATTTTTACTGCAGTCAGAAAAGTTGATGAGTGAATGTGGGGTGTTTTGTTTTAAGGATTTCTGAAGCAAACGTATTCATACAACAAAACAGATTTTCTTTTGTCTGTGGTATCAGTCAGCATTCATGCATCATCACTGGCAAAGTGATTCTGTAATAGAAATTTCACTGATGCCTTTGCTGCTTTGCTTTTGTGGTGTGCAGCCTGCAGCCATCTTCCTTTTCCATACCTGTCCTGAGTGCCATAAGGCAAATCATGCAGTCATCTTTTGGTTCCAAAACTGCTGTTGATTCAGTACACAATTTTTTTTATTTCTGCTTTTCGTTTTTTCCTTCCTTTGTCTCCTGAACAATCAGAAAAGGCTTTTGTGTTCATGCATTCTGATGAATGTTGACCGATAGCAGAAAACAGTTTCAAACGTGGTTTCTGCTGCTCAAATACATGTAGATGACATTGCAAAGCTGTTTACTTTCTGAACAAAATAATGTGGTTGTTTTCCCTTATGGTTTAAATTTTCACATTTAGGTTTAAAAATCTGCCCATTTGTATTAAAAGCAGAAACTACCACTAGGAGGCTTGTAGCACTTAATCAGTTTCTTCAGAGTTGAAATTCCTATGGAAAAAAAGTATTCTAAGTTTCTGACCCTTCCCGCTGAACTGTAGTCCTGTCTCTGGCAGCATTTGGATCCCTGCCTTTAGGTGGTTGCATGTGACTGCATTTAGCTTTGCAACATTTTTAAAACTCAGTGAATAGCAACAGAAACAACTGTCAGGAGGGTCTGAAATGAGAAGACTTTGTGTGATAAATTCAAGACAGTCTTCCCTTACTGGAGATGTTCAAGAACTGTCTGGGTGAAATCCTGTGCCATGTGCTCTATGATGACCCTGCTTGTGCAGGGAGATTGAACCACATGACCCACTGTGGTCCCTTCCAGCCTGACCCATTCTGTGATTCTGTAATTCCCCGTGCTGCAGCAGGGTGTGAGTACCTGGAGTGAGGTAGTGCACTGGCAGAATCTCCTCTCTTTGGCAACAAAAGTCTCCTAAAGGGAGGTTGACATAGAAAACATCTTTTTCCTTCCAACAAAATCTGGAAGCACATATCTTCACTGTTTGCGTATCCATCTAGTCTGGGGGAAGTAACAGCGAGAATCGAGTCAACAAAGACACCCTAGGAAGAGGTTTCTTTCCCTGTAAAATGTCTAAGGAAAGCGGGATTTTCTAGTATTTCAGAACCTGGCTGAAGGGCTGTATTTTGCATTTTATACCAGTTTCTACATGGTGAGATTAATCCTTTGACTAAGAAGAC